GAAGACTTGCCTCGCAAGGGCAACCGTACCGTAACTCGACGGGGACAACCGTACCGACGGCCGTAACAACTCACATTGGTAGGCCACATGGTTCACATTCATACATTGGTCATACCAACTAAACATTAAATAACACGTATGGCATAGACAATTTTAGATTAGAACCCACCTGGAAATCAAAACGACGATAATACACAATCTGCTGGTCATAAGTCAAGGAATCAACTCCTCAAACACCTACATTTAATCAAGAAAATTTCGTAAATACATTATCTTGACCTTTAGAAATAATCACGACAATTCTCACTTAGTCGAACATTATCGACTAAGTGGTTCATGGAATTTTGATGAATTTGGAGCTCTCAGAGGATAGGTACAATACTCGAAATAATGGTCACGAGGTTAAAATTATGGTTTGGCTCGAAAACAAGTCGAACGGCCCAAAAACAGATGGGTAGTAACATAAAAACTAAGTCGATGAAGAATGGATAATTTTAATACGCGCAGACCCAGTAAAACGAAGATAATTTTTGATGTAGAAAACATTTTGGACTGATTTTTAAAGTTACCGAAAGCCAAGAGATAGGTCTATATTTTTCATGAAGACCTCAAATGCAAACAAGCAAGTTAAAAGGATAAAAATAAATCAACACTAAACCACAAACTGCAGTCCAATTTGATAGAAAACTGCTCGCGCACTTATCAAAAACTGGATGTAACTTTTTATATAAAAATGGTATTTGAATGAATCTTATGCCATTTGAAACCTAAGAGATAAAGCTACATATCATATACAGACATAAAAATTCCCAGGTAACCAGAAACAGGCCAAAAATTGCAAAAACAATAGACTCAAATTTCTGCGTTTAAAATGAAAAACTGACTGCGCAAGGATCGAAATTTTGACATAATTCTCAATATAAAAATGATAAGTACTCGATTCTTTTTTAAAAAGAATGATAACACCTGGAACTTTAATTTTTGTGAAAGACTCCAAAAAGAGATAACAAGTTTACAGAACTCAAAATCAGCAAAGAACAGAGGATACATGCAGAATTGAAAATTTAGAAAAACTGGACGCGCAACCATCGTAATTTGGCAATAACTCTCAGCACAAAATTGATATTCATACGATTCTTGTTGGAGATGAAACCTAACAAACTGAACTTTAATTTATCAGAAGAGTTCAAAGTCATCCGACCGAGTTTAAGGGGCCAAAAACAGCAAAGACCAGCGAACAACAAAATATTTTTAAAAAGGGGTTTTCAAAGCCCAAATCTCAACGAACGACAATCACGAAACAAGGGCTCGGATGACAAGTCAAGGCTCGAATTAACTCGACAAACCTCAGCAATACACAACAAAAGAATAGGGCTCGATAATGCAACGAGAGAGTTCCAATATCCACATCAATAATAATAATATTTCTCATGAATTCCTAAAAATTCAAATAATTGATTATTCTCATAAGATAGAGGGTGATCAAGCCTTATACCTCCTTCAAGGATTTAAAACACGAAGGCTGAATATGGAGAAAAAAAGAAGCCTCGAACGTTCGGCTAGTCGCTGGAAACTCATGGCTTACGGCTCTCTATTCCTTGCTTATGGCCGCTGCTGCTCACACGCCATGGGATGGTCGCTCGAGGATGACGATTGATGGTCGTGACCTGCTGTTCGCTAGACCCTTCCTCTCTCACGCTAGGCGCACGTAGACTGCGGGTGGTGCACTCGCGGGGTGGTTGTTGTTCGGATGAAGGCTGCGATATGGGGCGAAGGATGATGATGCTTGATGATGGAGAAAATTCTCTAAGGGGCGATAAGGTTGCAGATGGGGAGGCACGGACCTGCTACTTGTCTCACGATAAGGGCTGGGATTTAGTCGATTCGATGAATGGGGCGATGATGATGAGACGATGAGGCAGCGACAAATTTCTTCTTTGTCTCGTGAATAGAACGAAGGAAAAATATAATCTCGTCTAAAATCCAACATCTTACGGCCAAATAAAACAAAAAGATTGGGTCGGTTTTTAAGCGTCCAAATGGGCCAATAATGAACTCCAAAAATGGGTTGGATTATGCACATAAAATCGGGCCCAAAAGAAAATTCAATATACATGGCCGGGAATAGAATCGATTCTAGACAAAATGAGTATTGTTCTGGTCGGTTACTCCAAGGCTCGACAATCTCAATAAAAGCTCGGTTAATCGCCAAACAACCGATAATAAAATAAATTAACCGGCACTTATATATATATATATCAATAACACAGATAAATATATTTATTAATCAAACAATTCATTTCAATTAGGCAAATAATTCAAATAAATATAATAATAATAAGCAATTAGGCAAATAAACAATTAATAGTAATAATAATAATAATAAAGCAATAATAAATATAGTAAATAATACTACATAATTCTCCAATAAACAGGGCGTTACAGTCTACCCACCTTACAAAGAATTCCGTCCTCGGAATTCGAAAACAAAACAACTAGAAGGTAAGAGAGTACAACAAGGGAACATCAAAATGTGAGGGTCGGGTACTCCCCCCGAACCTCGGCCTCCCTCTGCCAAGTCGTCTCGCCCTCGACTTGACTACAACAAATGGACTTTGACGAGTACCCCTCCCGGTCTTTCCCTGATGGTCCCTCGGTCCCAACAGGTCACCGGTACCTCCATACAGGTAGGGTTCTACCTATCACGCAGCTCGTCACAATTCACATATACCTCGAGATCACACACACATTTCCTCCATCACGAGACTAGAACGTGTCATTGCATCATTGCAAGTCCCGGTGGTGGAGTCAATCATCAGGCTAAGATATCGACTTTGTCGACAAACCATAATAGGACAGACAATCATCACTTATACTCAAGCCTGGTACATTCAGAACACATGATTCTGTTTGATACCGATGACAAGGCCTTACCCATTACCGACACGAGTAGCACCTCATGTTCGGCTTCGGGAGTAAAGACAAGATAGACGATAACGATTTCCTCCCACGGAGTCGGTCTCCAGTCGAGACTCAAGGCTCTTCCCCACATTACTACGGAAACTACTATCTCGCCATCTCGAGATAATCTCGTATGTGGCATGGGAAACTGATCGACAACCTCATACACCGGGGGTTGTTGATTAGGGAATTCATACAACGGTTCGAAAGATCAACATACACTTTCACCCAAAAAATCTGATTCAAAGACCCTTAAAAGGACAAGGTCGAACTGGGTTTAATACACTGTCACCCGAGAGGTGACACACACGCTGGCGCTGCATATGCGGGGCGCTAGGATGCGTGCATGTACCCACTCGAATACCAGCTACAAGGTCAAGGTTTGGCCGTACACGTTGACCTGGGGAGTTTGGCGTTCGGTGATGGCGGCAACAGCTCTCGTGCGAGTCAACGGTCGGCCACTGCAGTTGGCCTAACGTCTCTCAGCACGGGCGTGCAGGCTCGGCCACCACTTCGCGTGGCTACACCCAGTCAGGTTCGACACTGGGTTCGAGCCACATACCTGAAATTTTAATTTCCGGGTTTCACAATTACTAAGTACTCCGATAGAACAAAGGGTTTGACAACAAATATTTCTCCAAAAGGGATCGAACATTGGCATCACTGCCAGGAACATTCCTAACTCGACGATCAATGCCGAACAACAAAATGGTTAGCTCGTTTGACTCTTCCGACCAACAATGTCGGCCGTTACGACAGCTTTTACTCAGGTAGCTAATCGTGTCGGCAGTCCTAAACGAGTTCAACCTCATATACAGCCTATAGTTCTCCACACTTTGAGATATTAGCGTAAAGCTTCTCTCGTAAGTGTTACCAGTCAACAATGAAATAATAACGATCAAATTAATTTACATAAGGCACATAAGCTTGCATATCGAAGGTAACACCTATTTTCGAAAACATAACTCATGCAATATAACTGAACCACATAGTCTCAGATGAATATAAATCCTAAGACTTGCGGCTACAATTCTCATTTAAATCATACAAGCAAACAAGGTCGTTCGATCACATATTTTTCAGCAAACATTTAAATCATGATCGCAATTCAAAGCAGGAAATATTCAACTTACAGGGTTTTAGAAAGTTGAGAATTTTATAAGCTATAGGCACACAAATAACAGGATTCAAGACTCAAGTTAAGCCTAAGGCATCCATCTACAATATTTATTTAGATCACATAAGCAAATAAGGTCATTAAGATAGTGTAAAAGCAAACAACATTTAGGAATCAATTTCTGACATCATTACCAACTCATCTCATGCATATCCTAAATAGATTTAACATACATCGAGCCACAGTCATCATTTAAGCATGAAGCTTATCTCATTAGAAAGCTAAAAAAACAGACCTAGAACTTTTATGTTGATCACTTAAGACAAAAAAAAACCTTTAAAACCGAGTTTAAGCATAAAACACTTAGGTCAAGAAATCTGCCAACATAACTGTTTGTCAAATTACAACACTTCACTAAATCAACAATATCTCAAGTTATAACACTCTAAATCAAAAAAACTCAAAACCTACAGAAACTACACTAGAAAAGCTACAAGCTTCAAGAAGAGCATTTTTAAGAATAATCACGTTAAAGGCCCCATTTCAGAACATACATTTCAGTCATATACACTGCCACTATTTTAAAATTTCTGGACATAGATCCAACTTTGAAAAATCATATAAAATCAACTAAAACACCAAATTGCAAGATTTCAACTTTCAGTGAAAGCTTATAACAATTAAAGTTCCTCTTGTAGGATTAGGGTTCCGTCTCTCTCTGTAGAGTCTCGCAGTTCCTCTTGTAGGATTAGGGTTTTCTCAGTGTTTTTGCCTCCTTTCTTTCAGGTTTTGTCCTGTGGGTTGGGCTAGGGTTCTGTTTTGCTAGTATGCCATGAATATGTCCATACTTTTCTGATCTATTGGTGTTTGGTTGCTTTATTAGTATTATCTCTGCATTTCTCGTTTGTCTATTGCAGGTAAGGTTGGTTGGTTTGGGGTTTGCTCAGTATGGAGGAGGAAGTGGTGGATAAATTAAAAAAGTTCGCATTATCGGAGAAAGAAGTTAAGGGAACTACGCTTGATGAGGAAGACATAGTGCCAGGGGTTCAAGAGTGTAAACTCAGTCTGATCGGAAAACTGTTTGGGGAGAAGTGGGTCAACATCAGTGGATTCCAGGCAACTCTGAACAGAATATGGTTTACTAGCTCTCCATACACAATCAGGAACATAGGGGTTAATATGTTCCAATTTATGTTCCAAAATGAGGAAGACAAAGAGAAAATTCTTCAGGGCAGAACGTGGAGCTTCGACGGTCAATATCTCCTTCTTAAGCAGTGGGATCCTAACCATATGGGGTTCTCAGAGGAGGAGGAGAGGGTCAAGTTATGGGTTCACATTTTGAATTTACCTCTCCATTGGCTGTCAGCGGAGGTAGGTCTGAAGATTGGGAAATCGATAGGAAGAGTGTGGGAAGCTATAGTTCCGAATGTTGGCAGCAATAATGGCCGCGTGGTGAAAATCCTTGTGGAGCAGAATCTGAATGAACCCATTCTGAGGGGTATGAACATTACTCTGCGACAGGAGACTCATTGGGTGGATTTCAGATATGAGGGTTTACTTAGCTTTTGTTTTTACTGTGGTAGAATTGGACATGGAGATAAAACTTGTTCAGCTAAAAAAGAAGATATCAATAGTAATATGCTCAAACTAGGGCAATTTGGAGACTGGCTCGGGTCTTTTGGGGTTAGTCAAGGGGATTCTAGAGGGTCTATACCGAGTCTTGGGGATAAGTCTGGGTCTGAGGTTAAACTCTCTCGAACTCAAGCTAATGAGCCCGAGACTAATGAGAGTGAAGGTAAAGGTCACTCTGTTGGTACCTCTAGTAAAAGTGGTACTGTAGGGATCACAGACTTAGTGGTTAAGTCTCTTGATATACCTCAAGAGGTTGTTTCTGTGGCTGTTGCTCACAGTAATCCTTTAAGTCCTATTGTTGTGGATAATGATATGCTAATTGACTCTTCTAATATTTCCTCCCCTAACAATGTGGATTGCTCTGATTTGGTGGAAATCAAAATTGCTGAATTTAAACCTTCTTCTGAAATGCCTAAAACTAGGAAAGGTTTCAAAAGACAACCTAGAGCTGTTAAAGTTAGCCTCAGTGATAAACTGAAGATTTCTAAAAAAGGCATTATTTTCACTGAAACAAATGACCCCCAACTTCTAAAAAGAAACTTTGAAACTATTGAAGAGGGTGTTATTGAATCTGATAATGGTTCTAAAAGGCTGAAAGGAGATGGTAAAGGTAAAGCTGCTGTGGTGGAGGAGGCCAACCCTAATAGGCCCCCCCAGTGTAAATGAAAGTATGTGTGTGGAATTGTAGAGGTTTGGGAGGACCCTCTACAATTTCCCAAACCAAAGAGATCCTAAGATCTCATCTCCCTGATTTTCTTTTTTTATCTGAAACAAAAAAAAAAAAGAGTTTTGTTGATGTTGTCTTTAAAAAATTGAAACTGGATAATAGGTGGGTGTGTGTTGATCCTTTGGGTTATAAGGGTGGCATGGTTTTGTATTGGTCTAGTAAGGTGGAGATTGTGGGCATTGATTCTTTTGACTTTTGTTTTGAAGTGCAGTTCAAATATAATGGGGAGCCCAAGATCCATTGGGCTATTTTTCATTATGCTAGTACTGATACCCATTATAGATCCATGCAGTGGAATTTTTTGATTAGGCATAGCCTTTCTTGGGGGGACAGTTGGTTTATGGGAGGGGATTTTAATGACCTTCTTTCCAATCAGGATAAGAAGGGAGGGCAGGTTAGAGATGAGGCTAGTTTCAATATGTTTAGGGATTTTATTTTTACCCTGCAAGGGGTGGAACCTAAAAGTGTAGGATATCCCTTCACTTGGTCCAATCTCAGAAAAGGTGAGGACTTCATTGAGGAGAGATTGGATAGGTTTTTTGTGTCCCCTAGTTGGTCTACCAGTGCTCCTAATGCCCTAGTTAATCATTTTGCTATGTCTTCTTCTGACCACAGTATGATAATGCTAAATCAAAACCCTCTGACTGAAAAAGGAAAAAAAAGATTCTTCTTTGACTCTAGGTGGACTAAAATGGAGGGATTTGATGAGGTGGTCCAAACAGCTTGGAATGAGAGAGTGGTGGGGCATCCTCTATACAGCCTTCAACAGAGGATTAAAAATGTGAGAGTTGCCCTTCTGAAGTGGAAAGCAAATAAAGGCTCTAATGCTGAGATGACCATTAAAGAGTGCAAAGCTAAATTATCTGAGCTGCACCAGCAAGGAGGCAACAGAGATTGGACAGTATGGAATCAACAGAAAAACAAGCTGAATCTGGCTTACAAAGATGAAAAGGAATACTGGAGAATCAAGTCTAGAAACCAATGGCTGAAAGCTGGGGATAGAAACACCAAATTCTTCCAAGCTACAGTCCATCAAAGAAGAAAGATTAACAGCTTGTAAAACTTGGTGAACTCTGAAGGGGATAGATGCTCTAGTACCCAGGATACTCTGAATGAAGTCCAGAATTACTTTGATATGCTCTTCAAGTCCTCTAATCCTCAGATAGATAAGTGTAATCTCCAAGGCATTCCCATTTCTATCACTGATCAGATGAACAGACAATTAACTCAACCAGTTGAGGAGGATGAGATCAAGGAAGCTCTTATGGACATGGATCCTCATAAAGCTCCAGGAGTTGATGGTATGTCCCCTTGTTTCTTTCAAAACTCTTGGGATTCTGTGAAAACTCACCTCTGTCTTGCTGTGAGGAATTTCTTTGACTGTGGTCAAATGCCTAAATCTGTGAATCAAACTGTTATCTCTTTGATCCCTAAAAAGAAGCATGCTACTAAAATGGTAGATTTCAGACCAATCAGTCTGTGCACTGTGTCTTACAAAATAATTGCTAAAATTGTTGCTAATGGACTCAAGAATACTCTGTCTAAGTGCATTTCTCCTAATCAAGCAGCCTTTATCCCAGGTAGACAAATTTTAGACAATGTAGTGATTGCTAATGAATGCATTCATTTCATTAATAGCAAAAGAAAAGGCAAAGACATGTTCATGGCTGTTAAACTAGACATGGCTAAAGCTTATGACAGGGTTGAATGGGTCTTTCTTGCTAAAGTGTGTAGGCAAATGGGGTTTTGTAGTAAATTTGTTGCTTGGATTCTTGCCTATCTTAGATCCACTTCCTTTTCTTTTAATATCCAAGGGCAAATTTTAGGGTCAGTTACTCCCACTAGAGGGTTGAGACAAGGAGATCCTCTTTCTCCTTATTTGTTCATCATTATATCTGAAGCCTTTTCTAACCTCTTGAAACAAGCTAGCTTATCTGGTAATTTCATGGGCCTCAAGGTCAGTCAGCATGCTCCTACCCTTACTCACTTATTTTTTGCTGATGATGCTATCTTATTTTGCAAAGCCTCTCTGTCTCACGCTAATGTGATTCTGAAAATCTTAGATGATTATGGGAGTGCTTCTGGCCAGGCAGTTAATCTGCAAAAATCCTCTATTTTTTCTCTATGAACACCTCTAGTGCTTCTGTTTCTGATGTCTGCTCAGTTCTCAGGGGTATTGATAGGGTTTCTTCTTCTAAATATCTAGGTCTGCCCCTGGGAATTGGTCGTTCTAAGAGAGAGACTTTCAAATTTGTTTGTGAGAAAGTTCAACAAAGAGTGACTAGTTGGAAAAATAATTTCTTGAGTGAGGCAGGTAGAGAGATTCTCATCAAAACCATTCTCAATGCTCTACCTGTTTATGTGATGGCATGTTTCAAAATCCCCATTTCTGTGTGTTCTGAAATGAGCAAAATTATGGCTTCATTCTGGTGGGGAAAAAATGACAAAGGTAATGACAAAGTTCACTGGGCTTCTTGGGACAAACTGGGCAAAAGCAAAGAGGAAGGAGGGTTGGGATTCAGAAACCTGGTGGAATTTAATGATGCTCTCATTTCTAAGCAGCTCTGGAGGATCCTTACACAGCCTAACCTCCTCATTAGCAAATTCTTGAAAGGCAGGTACTTTTACAACTCTAACCTGTTTGAAGTTGAGAAGAAAAACAATGATTCATGGCTATGGAGGAGCTGGCTAAGTGTTAGAGCTAAATTTCTGAAAGGTGTGAGATATCAAATTGGAGATGGAGCACAGATTTCAATTTGGAATTCTCCTTGGGTTCCAAATCTGCCAGGCTTTAAACCATATGGCACCTTTGAGAGTGATAGAGATAATCTGCAGTTTGTCAATGAGTTGATGTTAAAGGATGCAATAGAATGGGACTCAGAACTGATCAAACAAACCTTCCCTCCCCATGAGGCAGCTGAAATTCTTAAAATTCACTGGAGTGTGGTCAGAAAGAAGAATAAACTGATGTTGGTGTATAATGAAAAAGGGCTATTTACTGTCAAATCTGCTTATGAGAAGTATCATTCTCTTGCCTCTGGGATATCTAGTCAAGCTGCAGGAACTAGTGGCTACTCCACCCAGGCTAAAAAGATGTGGTCCTTCACATGGAAGCTTAATATCCAGCCTAAAATCAAAAATTTCATGTGGAGACTACTTAAGGGATTCCTTAGCTCTAAAGTTCAATTATTGAAAAAGGGAGGATCAACTGACACCACTTGCTCAATCTGTGGAGAGGAGCCTGAAGATGTCAATCATATCTTTGTGAAATGCAGCATTGTTCGAAGGTGTTGGAAACTGGCTGGTCTAGAGTGGGAGGATTTCCAGAACTCTGACTTTGAGTTAAGGCAATGGTGGGAGAAGATCTGTAGAAACAAGAGAGCTAAAAATATTAAAGAAAGACTCTCTCTCTCTGCTTGCCTGCTCTGGAGGATTTGGAAAGGTAGAAACAGAGTTATTTTCAACAAGGAAGAATTTCTGGTGGAGGACATTGCAGCTGGTGCTAGAAGAGATTGGTTGGAATTTGAGGAGGTGAAATGTTTAAAACCCCCTGATAATGCTTATAAAAGTAACTCAGGTCTTTGTCAAGAAGAGGAATTTTCCCAGAGAGTAGGAATTGTAGAAATACAATTCAGTGCTCTAACTTCTTTGTCTGGCAAGGTAGGAGTGGGGCTTATGGCTAAGAGCATTACAGTGGACTTTGAAGATAAGCACTTATGGTAATGGGCTGATAATCAATTAGAAGCTGAACTTCTGGGAGTCAGATGGGCTCTGGAGCTGGCATTGCAGCAGGGATGGACTGAAATGAGATGTTCACTCACATCCACTAAACTGGTGGATATTCTTAAGGATCCCAAGAAGATGGCTGAACTTGCAGGTGTCTCTAGAGTTATCACTGAAGATATTTTGTATATGTCTGACTGCCTTAAAGTTTGTGTTTTCTGGCATGGTGTAGTATCCCCGAGATGTGTTTCATTAGCCATGTTGGCTTTAGAGGAGGCTTAGATTTATCTTTCCTCTGGTCTTTTTCCTATCTAGTGGCTTGTGCTAGAAGGATGTATTGTGTTCAGTTGAACACTGCCTTGTACTTTGTCTGAGTTTGTTCTATATATTTATTCGTTTTGGAAAAAAAAAAAAAAAGTGAAAGCTTATAACATGTACTACAAATTTTATGATGATTACGTTTTTATATTGCCACCATAGGCTCATAAAGGCATAATGGCAGGTTTTAACACGACCTTTACGTGTTTGGCAATTTAATCA